CATAAAATCTTACATTCGTGTACTAACGTTTAGAACTCGTTAAGAAAGGCTAAGATAAATCTGTGGGTATGTTGAAAGACAAGAAATTAATACATATTGAAATTTATGCAACATGAATGGGGGCAGCACACATGTGTATTGAAATTAATGCAACATGAATCGGGGAGGGAGCATGTATACTGGAATTAATGCAACATGAAACATGAATAAATTTACCATAGATGTGTATTGAAATTAGTGCAAAATGGATGGGGGAAAGCAGACAGGTATTAAAATTAAAGTGGCATCAAGTAAGATTAGATAAAGAGCTGGCAGTTCTCGCTATAATAGCTAAAAAATAGATAATGGAAAGAGAATATGCTGAAAATAACACCACCCAGAGTCTAGATATTAGCGGCAGAATTATAGCCTCGATCGTCATGACTACCATTGTTACAATAATAAACAATGTCTTTATTATCCATTTTTATGGTAACCACATCTATCAGAAAATGCATTTGAATCTATTAAATATCACAGGCATTTGATGGCATCGAAAGTTGATTATGGTCTTGGTAAGTTCATTAATGTCTAATTAATAATCTAGATAACATTTAAGGCCTAAAGAAAGATCTGCAATAGGCAGACTAAGCTCTTGCATAATGCATGTTTAATGCAAAATGAATGGGGGTAACATATACGTGTGTATTGAAATTTTAATTTCAATTTTTGCAATCCACCCTTACTTATATGAGCCTATTCTTTATGAGTGACTTCAAATGTTCAGATTATTTTGTGGTGGGGTGTTATGTTTCGTGATGTGACTGGTAACATCCCTGATTTACAGAAGTAACCAGTTCTAGAAAGTGAAAAAAATATGTATTAACATTAATAAGTTTGAGAAGAGATCAGGTTGCATTAACCAAATTCATTTCTTGCTTGCACTTGCATCATGTTTTACAGTAGCAGTATCATTATAAGGATTAAAAGTGTAACTGGTCTGAGTCCGTTATCAGAATACAATAACCCAGCAAATGTTAAGTGAAAAGCAGTGCCAAGTGTTTTAACAAAATATTACAGCCATTAATATCTCCAACTGTCTTTTTTACCCTTCTACAACAACATGTGTTTCTTGTGCTTTAAACTTAATATCTAGAAGAGACGTATCAAAGAGAATTAGTATTCTGGACATGAAATAACCTCAAAACAAAACGACAGAACAAACCATGTTATGTAGCATTTTCCTTTTAAAAATAAAAACAACTGTACTGTACTGAACTTTCCTTTAGAGGAAAAACGGTTCTATTTAATTAGAATTGTTGATCAGATTGATCGAAATTCACCAGATCAACCAAAAACACAGCCGCCAATTAGTCGATTTCTATTGATTATCTGAAAATAACTTGTAAAAGGAATAAGTTCAAAAAGCTAACTACATGGTCATGTATTATAAAATGACTGCCAACCTTTTCATCAGCTGTAACAGACTCAACTGATCTTGGTGCAGTGATAAAAATATATGGCACAGCTTCTAAAACCATTATATTTTCCTCATTTTTGATTAAGTTATTTCTTTTAATTCAATTAAAAATACCAGTTAGCAATAATATCCAGACGGACATCACAAATTCTAGGAGAAAATATCAAAATCCAAAATCTGCAACTTTTTTGTAAAAGTAATATGCATTCTTCTTTTTTAATAAACCAGATACGCCAGCTCGCATTTTTTCATGCGTAGATTCAATTTCTGCAGTCTATGGTACTTATTTAATAATGTAATTCATTTAAATCTATAATATGATATAGAATTACATCATGGAAGTTCTTTTAAGAATTCTACTTCTCTTTGCTTAGCATTAAAAGTTTGTTAACAAATACTACAAAACACAACCAGAATCAACAGACGGTAAAAATCAATTTATCAAGTAATTGGGTGGAAAATGGACATCCACTTTCCTCTATAAAGAAATAAGATTGCTGCCAAACTCTCACATTGATATTGATAATAAATTTTATGAACATCAGAAAGCATACATCATGTATAATGTGCAGAGAAGCTTGACAATTTATGCTCTTAAATCTTATTACAGGAATTCACTTTGGTGTTATTTGGATTTTTTTTAGAACAAAATCAACACTTCTTCTGCCAGAATATCCCAAGTGTAACAGATGCCTTTCTCTGTTTATCAATGTTTTACAAACACACATTAATCTTAATCTCATAGAACCGCTAAAAACATATTTCATATATATCTTAACAATGATGATAGCAAATAATCCTGTCACCATTTATAAAACCCATATGTAAGTATGACAGGTAAATTATTTATTATGTTCTGTAAAAAGAGAAAAATTGTCCATAATCTATTTAGCTATGTGTCATGAGGGAATTAAGAAACAAGAGTGGCAACCAGTTAACATAGAGTAATGAGTAACATGTATAATATATAACTACAAGTAAGATCAACTTTTACACGTTCAATAAATGAGCTATAAAAAAAGACTGGTTATAAAAGAGGGTTGATATGCCAACCAGTTTCTAAACAATGAATAAGATTGATTTTTTTTTCTTAATTAGATGAATCGCATTCGGGTAAATGCTCTTCAGATTAAAATATTCATGTAGATCATTTAGCTTATATATTCTCATGCTAAAAGGGCATTATAGAAGTTTAGATAAAAAGTGGACAGTTCTCACTATAATAGTTAAAAAATAGATAACGTAAATAGAATATGCTGAAAATTTCAAATTGCTCCACTCTGAACCGAGATATTAACTTTTGAATTTTAGGCTAGCCTGCATCGATCATCGTTACTGAAGTCGGTACGATAAAAAATAAAGTCTTGATACGCCATTGTAACATGTTTAAATTTCAAAATATGTATTCTAATCCGCTAAATATTGTAGGCTAGAGATGGCATCAAATTTGATAAGTTAATTAATTTCTAATTAATAATTTAGATAACATTTCAGGCCCAAAGAAAGACCTGGAATAAGCAGATTTAGCTCTTGCATAATGTATGTTTAATTCCAATATAAGTATAAGAGTACAACAAAAAATTTGTTAACTACAGGCACCCCTAAAATGCGAAGAAGTAATCGTTACCGCTGTCACCATAGACTTATTTGTCAGCTACAGCACATTCTCATAGTAATGTACAGGTTCTATTAGATTATAACCCCATGACACAATTATATGGAATACCGGCACAAGTTACTTTAGAAGTTTATTTCTGGCAAATTTTCAAAGAGGTTTCTCTGGTCTTTATCAAGCAAGACAAGTGAACCCTTGTCCAAATGTCACAAGACATAAACTTACAAAGTACAGTAACTTGTATTACATATAATTGTGTCAAGGGTTATTCTCATAGCCACTTGAGCAATTTACTAGATTAATTTGTATATCTTGTATTTCTAAACTTTGAATCCTTTAGCTCTTATAGTTAATGGTACTATATCTATGCCCAACTATTCTCCTAAATTTACATGATTGATCCATAAGCATTACCAGGTCGTTTAGTCTCACCTGTAGAACATTTTGTGTTAAAAATTATTTATGTAACATAACTAGAGATATAACAATTTTTTAATGCTCTCGTGGCTGACTTTATAAATCCTTCTATGTAACTTAATGGAAAATAATATAAAATTCATGTTTTAGGATTGAATTTTTTTTTTTTTTTTTTTTTTTTTGGGGGGGGGGGGGGAATATTACAAAAAAAACGCATTTCAGGCAACCAAATGAATGTTATATATATGATAAATCGGTAGAAAGCTATTAAAGCAGTCGTTATTGACTTGTTCAAAAAATAGAATTTATTTGCAATCTTTAAAAAAAGTCATTATTATTATTATTAAATAAAAGTCAAAAGCTGAAAATAGGCCAACTTCAAATAGTCTAAAATATAAACATTGATCTTTTTTTTATGTTACAATTACGAACTGATTTCTGCTACAGATGGAAAGGGTAAGACATATTTTATAAGGAGGTGGTCTTATATAAGCTGATAAAGCTTGTAATGTTAACGGTTTTAGATGTACATGTACCTGACGAAATTATTGGGCACTAATGAACTTTGGGCTGGACATGTACAAAAAATATTAATGAATAAATCATTTCAGTGCCAGAGAGAATGACAAGCACCAGAGGTTTTAAGCCTGAATTTGTGTCTGACATTACCAGAGACAGATGCCATTTTTTCAGGCTTGTTGTTATCATATATTTTATATAAATCTGTATAAAATACAATATTGTTTAAACCATATATTTCATAAAGAAGTAGCTGGTCATCCACTAATTATGTGAGATCTATGACACTTGTTTTAACTTAGCCTGTGCTTCATGAGAAGTTCACACTAAAGAAAATTTATACAGTCTCATTTAGCTCTGGAGGTGATCACATTTGGTCAATGAACAGATAATAATCCGCCATGGACATCCCCTATCAACTGTCAATTTACATTTCAAATTTCAAAGAAATAATTAATAAACAGACACTTCACTATTTCAATGACATATTAATGTAACTTTATAACATATGGGTTAGGAAATTAGAAATAAAGTTTAATACAGTCAGTATGATATAATCAGTAGGTCTGTCATAAAGACCATGATTTATTACGATATAGATAATTATACATATTACCATACCTCCCGGTGAGTTTCATATATCACATCCAGGGGTTCATATTTAGTACTACTGTACTCCGGGATACGAATGTTTCCACCAATAGCGAACATATTACCATATATTAACGTATCCATATTCTACGTTTCTTCTTTTAATAAAATCCATGTTTAAGTACCAGTAAGTCTATCAGGTTTATAAAGACATCATCAGTTCCGAGAAGTCAGAAATAAAATGCTTTGAAGTCCGATTTGAGCACCTCTTCCTGTTACTGTATGAAGAATCTGATTAACCATTCCAACACAATGCTTCGTTTTATTAATAGCTTCACACAAACAACTATTTTCAGCAATGGAGAAGTAATAAAAAGTACATTAAACAAAGAAAATCAACACAGAATGATGAGTAAACAGACAACGTCAATGTCTATAACAATTTAGAAATATTCTTAAATGCCATTATAACAGTGTTAAATAAAGCCAATTGACAGAAAGCCAAGTGATTAGATGACATTGCTATCAACTGTTTGAATCGGCCCCGAAGAACTCTTATTACATCTGCTATACTTGGTAGAAATCAATGAAGTCATACCATCTAAAACTATAGCCATTCACGTTTGTGTAATCTTCAGAGTGAAAACTGACCAGTTTTATAGGTTTTCAACTTGAGGTAGGACGAAATTTAATGATTGATGTCTCTCGCGACAGAAATAACCTTCGCTATATATATATATATACACAGTCAACTAATTCATTTGAGTCGATATATAAAGAAAAAGAAGTGTTTAGTCCACATCTGATTGTTGCCCATCTGAACACTTTGAAAAGTTTGTAAGAAGTAAGTCTGTATACATCTAAAAATAATGAACTAGGTACCGCCTCACTGTTTCAAGTGTCGGCAATCTCGACATGATCTCTTTCACTTGAGCACAGAGAGTTAAGCAGCTTCTTGCAATAGATCTATGGTAGTAAGCTGATAAAGGCTTCACCTCGTTAGCTGATAACGGTCTCATATCGTTAATATCACAAGCCTTATTGTTCTGCATTGATTTTTCTACCCATAATCCTGCAGACACCTCAATAACTGACCCGATAAAATAGTAACCTGACTTTTTTTTATTCTTCGTCTTATGACACATTGTTATTATTACATACATGTAGTGCACATCTGGTTTTTTGTCCATCATGTTAATTAAATCAATCCATTCAAAGGTCTATTTCTGTTATTTTTACCCCATCTTAAAAACTGCAATAACCTGTGTTCAGGTGTGTGTTGTGTAATACTGGTAATCAATTTCTAAATCAATTTTTGAGTTGTTTTTTGTTGAAGCCAATAAACCTGTTCTTCCCTTTCAGCTGAAGAACTTAAGATGAAATGAAATGAAATGAAATGGGTCTTAACATCCTACTTTTCTACACCAACTGGGCTAATAAAGGCAGAAAAAGGACTTAGGAGTTTTCTACAAAATTACAACTGAATGCAAATTGGAATCAGACTTTTATTTTACTTCAACCACGTAAGTCATGCCAGCCAGCTACATTATACCTTTCTTATATTTTTGTTTTGTTTTTTATATATAATAATGGCCTCCACTACACATGAAGACAGAATTGGGAAGTAAAACTAATTTTTATGAAATAAAACAGGATTTGTGTTTTAATCACAGAGGTAATATGCCTTTATTCACTGAAATTTTTTTCTGGATTTTTGCTAATTACCATATTTCGACTTCTCAAAGATGTAGACTAGATTGATTTGATACAATTAGACTTTTTAAAAAGATATTTTCGTCTGTTTGAACTCGTCAGTTAGACTGCGTCTTTAGATATTGAGGTTAGTGATGGTCGAAGACGACAAGAGAAATATGACAAATTGGTTTCAGCTCAGACAATGTCGTTTCTCTAGGGCTAATATAGACACATTATATTCAATATCTTGTGTCGAAGGAAATTGATGTCACAGCGCAAACAATTTGACAGTTGACTTACGCTTAAAGCCACTGTCTCTTCAAGAATAAATTATATCATTTCAAATTCTACCTTTCATAACATCCCAATTAAATTAAATATTTGGATTATAACCAAACCTATAAATCATTCTGCTGATGAAATGTGGAATAAGATACTAATTAAAGATATATTATGGGAGATTAGATAATTAAGGAGCTGGCAGTTCTCACTATAATAGTTAAAAACTAGATAATGTAAATGCAATTTGCTGAAAATTTAGCGATTGAATTTCCGGCCTAGCCTCGATCGTCATTACTAAAGTCAGTACGATAAGAAACATAGTCTTAATTATCCATTTCATGATTAAATTATGAATGGAAGTCCAACAGCAAATCGGAACCTAATGCAATAAACATCGCAGGCTAGCGATGCCATCTAGAGTTGATCATGGTCTGGATAAGTTAATTAATGTCTAAAGAAAGACCTGCAATAGGCAGATTTAGCTCTTGCATAATGTATGTTTAATGATTAAGGAAATCTAACAAACTCCAAAAGCATAATTGTAGGAGAAAACTTTAATTTTAAAAAAAAGTCAAACTAACAAAAATCTAATAAACTCCAACTTCAATTTTAACAAAAGTCAAAGAGATGTGGAAATAAGGCTTTTAGTACAAGTTGTTAGTTAAAAGAAATTTTTGGGTTTGCTGTTCAGAAGTGGTTTTTATCAAATTGAATGAATATTCTCACTATCGATCAAGTATCACTTAGCTTTGCAGATTTCTGTGCTTGATTTTCTATAGATTGTTTAGTTTTGAATCATTCAGAATTTGAAAGAAAAAAACTATAAAATCACCCAGAATCTATGAAAAGCATAAAGCGTTGAGTGGGAATGACTGATGCTCAATTTTAATGTCATACATACAGTTTAACATCAGCCACCCAGAAACTACCCTGTTTACAATAATGAGGAGGCGTTTGCTGGTTTACAAATGATGCCTAGTTTTAGATTCTGTGTATGGCATCCAGATTGTTTAATATGGAAATTAGTGTTTAAAGGATAACAGTTAATCTAAACATATTCCCATTGTTTAAGAATGCTAATATCCTCTAAAAGTGTTAATTAAGTGGCCGTGGTCCTTGGCATGTCTCGATCTTCATTATATATATTAGGAGTGCATACTGTTTAAATAGAACTGTTAGACAGAAACTAGACACCAAAGATTGAATATAACAGATCTCTCTAGATAAAAGGAAAGTTGTATTGGTTGATATAGATGGTTGGAATTAAATGTTGTGTCAGAAATTTGAGCTTTTTAGCAGTTACCTGTGAATTTGAACTACAGGTGTGTGAAATTAAAATACCTTAATTTATTTGCAAACTAGATCATTTCGGGACCACCACATGGTTCAATTTTATTTCAATAATTGCACGTAGGGGTCTTTAGCAGAGGGAGGAAACCGGAGGACCCAGAGAAAACCCACGTGGACCCAGAGAAAACCCACGAGGTTCGACAGGCGACACTACTCCTTGTCACGTAACGTACAATCGGGGAATCGAAACCATGCCAGCTGACTCAATGACAGGCCTTATGATACAGCGTGCACATGCTAACCATTCGGCCATCTACCCCCCCCCCTCTCTTGTTTTGAAACCAAGGGTTATTTTTAATGCAAACAATAACAACAACTGATGATTTAACCAATGTACATCATTTCTAAAACTAGGTAATAGAAATTGGACAGTTAAAAAACCAAATGCCTACACAATACCAAATACACGATAGTTGCTTTTTAACCAAAGAAGAAATTTTGATAATAAAACCTATTTAAATAGCCAAAAGGAAATATTTCATTAATAAATAATTATTATAGGCCCTACTAACATTTTATTTCGTAGTTCAATATTTACTTTCTTTTAGTTCAGTGGTATAGACACACGAATTCACTATACTGTACTACAAAAAAAAAACATAATATACTTTCGTTTGTAATCAAAATTTTGAAGTCGAAGCCCTGCCGGACAGTAAACTGTATGTGTGGCATCAAATCGGAGCAGCTTACGTAACTACAAGAGTACAAACTACAGCTATTTCAGGACAGTTGACCTAAAAACTCTTAATTCAACACCCCGCTGATTCAAAAAGCTCTAGAAACAATGCGTGTTAACTGAAACTGTGATTTTAAACTGAATCGAGAATAATGGACAAAAACCACTAAACTAAATAATAGATGATCTATAATGTCTTGACATAAAACATATATTTATGAAGAAGCATTATTAAATCAGTGATAAAACTGTCTGAGAAACATTTAAATAATCATAACTCATTAACTACAAGCAAATTGTTAACAAAAGGTTCTCAAACAATCCAAGCAAAAGCTTTTCCCCTCTATTGTATCACGGTAAGACTGTTACAAACTGTTGAATAAAAGTAAATTTAATTTTCCATTTTTCTTTACCAAGGAGGTAAATAAAATAATGACATATAAGAAATGACAAGTAATTGAGGTTAAATGGTTTGAGCAGTCATTGATTGCATCTGCTAAGATTATCCCTCTGGCAACATATATAGATATATTAGTTTAGGTAGTGATTTCATGCTCTTCTGCTCTTACATTCAGGGTAATTTCTCCACAGGACCCAAACGATCTGTCTGAAATGGCCATAGTTTATTGGGCTGCAAATAAATTCATGAAAACCTGATTTGTTGAGAATTTATTTTCGGAAATACAAGACAGAATCTATACTCGTTCATTGTTGTTATAATATTCCTATTTATCATGTTCTTGTTTACGCTAAAGGCAATTTCACGACAGAAAGCTAAATATAATTACTTTCAAATTGCTGATCCAAAAATCATTACCTGAAGTGGATTTTTTGATTCAAGCGGTTTTTATTTGTGATTTCATTCTTTATGAGGATAAATATTGGTTATTACAATGATGATAAATGTAAGAGTGCGTAAAATACAATAAAATAACTTTTTATATTCATTCTTTTGGTTCTGAAGAGAAACAGATAAATCATTTTGTTTAAAGTTTAGAGATCTAAAACATCTGTGTATTGTAACATATTATATAACGTATCTATTTAAATAAGATTTATAACTTAAATGGTCGATTTTAAATAAATACTGTAACATCCTGTAGATAATTGATGCGTGGGGATGAAAAATAATACCTTTAAGTAGCCATATTGCTATTAATTTATAAACATCAACCATGTCCATCAAGTTAAAGGGCCAATCCCGATAATATACTATTCAAAAAAAGTAGGGGATATTTGATTTTTAAGTGTTATTAAAGTCACCTAATGAAACTGACGAAGAAACAAATGACAAAATGAAATGAAGTTCACATTCATCGATTTATTCCAAATGATCGTTAGACTAAGTAAGGCACAGACTGACCATTATAAGGGTAAAATGATACCCGGGGTCAAACAGCAAAGTTACCACAGCATCACAACCAAGTCAGTAACGGGTAAATCCTCCTCTGTTTGCCAAACAAGCATTGATCCCACGTGGCATACTCCTAATGAGACGTCTAAGGTCATTTTGGTCCAGATTGTCCCATTCCTGTTGCAACGCAGCAGCAAGTTCTTGGACATTGGCAGGACGTTGTTGACGTTGACGTAACCTCTGTCCAAGCATGTCCCAGACATGCTCGATGGGGGAGAGGTCGGGACTCAGTGCTGGCCAAGGTAATGTGGTGATGTTCTGTTGTTGGAGGTAACCTGTAACGATCCTGGCCCTGTGACATCTTGCGTTGTCATCCTGGAAGATGAAACGGCGGCCATGACGTCGTGCGAACGGCACAACATGGACTGCCAAGATGTTGTCCCGGTAGTACTGGCCTGTAACACGCCCTGCAACAACATGTAAAGCCGTTCTTCCAGCAACAGTGATGCCTCCCCACACCATAACAGAACCACCCCCAAATCGATCATGTCTGATGACGTTAACGTCTTGGAAGCGCTCGTTTCGACGACGCCACACCCTCCTACGTCTGTCCAAAAAATCAACAGTGAACCTTGACTCATCTGAAAACATCACATTGCTCCAGCGTCGATTATCCCAGTGTTGACGATCCCTACACCAACAACGTCTTGCCTGAATGTGATGATCTCTCAAACAAGGGATCACGCGAGGACGTCGGGCGCGAAGGTGACCCCTATGCAGTCGATTCCGAATCGTCTGGCCACTTACTCTCACACCAGTGTCTGTTTGAAGATGAGCGCTGATCTGATTTGCTGTGATGACACGATTTCTCAAGGCCAAGGTACGGATAAATCGATCCTGGGCTTGAGTTGTCGCCCTTGGTCGACCTGAGCGTGGTCTGTCCTGTACAGATCTGTAGCATGCCAAGGGCACATAACCTTTCATTTTGGGTAAGCCGACGCATATCAAAATTTGTTTTCTGGTCACTAAAACAATTAAACTGATGTTTCCACCCTGGAATTCAATGCCACAATGACTGTAACATTCAAAGTCAGAGTCGTGCAAACCTTGGGTTGGGCCCCCATGATGATCCCAAGCATCACCTGCATTCCATGCGGTAGCTATTG